CGGTATAAACTGGGTTGGAACAGTTTACGCTTTTTTATAAACCGCTTCGCGGTTTATAAAGCGTAAACTGCCCCAAAACACCAAACAATAACAGAGCTTTCGCCCTGTTTACAAAACTGTGTACATTACACGAGTATGCTCGATTTGATAAACTCTGTACACAATTGAATGACGATACTTGTGAAGGAGTTTTGCTTTCTAACATTTCTACTCTGAATAAAATTATTCTTCTGGATTTAAGTTTTAATGTTTCTCATTAATACACAACAAGATTGGCATTTTCCTAAGGATTAAGAATAAAGTTAAAATTTGTTAAAGTGAAAAGATGTGTCAATCAAACCCGCCAAAAAATTAAAAGTTTCAGTAAATTTTAAATGAAATAAGATTTTTACTTAATTTTTGTGTGAAAATGCCATTGAAATATATAATTCGTGATATTATACAGAAAAAAATTAACTTCAAATCTGTGTCCAAGTACCTTTAATCCGTTTTCAATGAATAAAATGTAGTTGAAAATAATGTTCGTAAAAACTAATTTTCCGTCCAAAAAAAACTCTCTTAATGTATGCAATCTCCCAAAGTGGTTCATTCTACCTATTCCCACTTTTTGAAAATCAGGTAGAAAAAGATGATTTTGGGTGGGAATAGGTGGAATTTTTGTGTAAACAAATAATTAACTATGAAAACATAATTATAATTACTGTACAAACATTGATTAATAAACACCTATTCGAATAGAGGACAGGTATTTATTAAATTACAAATGAAATTTTTTATTATATTTGAAAGAAAAATCGATTTTTAATAGAATTAAATTATATTTTTTCTCCGTTAATTTTTTCTCTCGAAAACCCACCTATTTGAATGCTTTTTTCAATATTTTTTTTATCTTAAATTAAGATATTAAGGTGCTTTTTCTTGTAAGACATTATTATTTCAAAAATCCAAAATGAATTATATTTTCTCATTGATCTATGTTTTCATTATTGTCTGTCTTAAAATGTTCTAAATACAGGTAAATCTAAAGAGCAGTTGTAATTCATCTAGTTACTGTAAAAACATATTAACTATCTAAACATCTATTGTTATTTGCAAGTGGGAATAGGTGGAATTGAAATTTTTAAAAAGTTGGAATAGTATCATGTTGTAAATTTTGAATTTACTAGGGGGAGGTTGTAAATGTTGCATTTACCTCCCCCTAGTAAATTCAAAATTTACAACATGATAATAGGTAGAAGACACCCCCAAAGTGTGAAAACAAGTACTTAATTAAGATATCACTATCCGTCACTCTACACACTGACAAGATCGATAATAATTCATAACATAATATTAAAACATACATTTGTACAGGTAGAGCCGTGAATGCTGTTTATAACAAATAGTATAGCCATGGATGTTGTTTATAGGACAAATGTACAGTCAGGGATGTTGTTTATAAGTCACAGGTACAGTCAGGGATGTTGTTTATAAGACACAGGTACAGTCAGGGATGTTGTTTATAAGTGGCAGGTACACTCAGGGATGTTGTTTATAACACACAGGTACAGTCAGGGATGTTGTTTATAAGTCACAGGTACAGTCAGGGATGTTGTTTATAAGTCACAGGTACAGTCAGGGATGTAGTATAAAGTGTGTATACTACACAGGTACAATCAGGGATGTTGTTTATAAGACACAGGTACAGTCAGGGATGTTGTTTATAAGTGACAGGTACACTCAGGGATGTTGTTTATAACACACAGGTACAGTCGGGGATGTTGTTTATAAGACACAGGTACAGTCAGGGATGTTGTTTATAAGTCACAGGTACAGTCAGGGATGTTGTTTATAAGACACAGGTACAGTCAGGGATGTTGTTTATAGGACAAATGTACAGTCAGGGATGTTGTTTATAAGACACAGGTACAGTCAGGGATGTAGTATAAAGTGTGTATACTACACAGGTACAGTCAGGGATGTTGTTTATAAGACACAGGTACAGTCAGGGATGTTGTTTATAAGTCACAGGTACAGTCAGGGATGTTGTTTATAAGACACAGGTACAGTCAGGGATGTAGTATAAAGTGTATATACTACACAGGTACAGTCAGGGATGTTGTTTATAAGTCACAGGTACAGCCAGGGATGTTGTTTATAAGACACAGGTACAGTCAGGGATGTAGTATAAAGTGTGTATACTACACAGGTACAGTCAGGGATGTTGTTTATAAGTAACAGGTACAGTCAGGGATGTTGTTTATAAGTCACAGGTACAGTCAGGGATGTTGTTTATAAGTAACAGGTACAGTAAGGGATGTAGTATAAAGTGTGTATACTACACAGGTACAGTCGGGGATGTTGTTTATAAGTCACAGGTACAGTCACGGATGTTGTTTATAAGTAACAGGTACAGTCGGGGATGTTGTTTATAAGTGACAGGTACAGTCAGGGATGTAGTATAAAGTGTGTATACTACACAGGTACAGTCAGGGATGTTGTTTATAAGTAACAGGTACAGTCAGGGATGTAATATAAAGTGTGTATACTACACAGGTACAGTCAGGGATGTTGTTTATAAGTGACAGGTACAGTCAGGGATGTTGTTTATAAGTGACAGGTACAGTCAGGGATGTTGTTTATAAGTGACAGGTACAGTCAGGGATGTTGTTTATAAGACACAGGTACAGTCAGGGATGTAGTATAAAGTGTGTATACTACACAGGTACAGTCAGGGATGATGTTTATAAGACACAGGTACAGTCAGGAATGTTGTTTATGACACAGGTACAGTCAGGGATGTTGTTTATAAGTGACAGGTACACTCAGGGATGTTGTTTATAACACACAGGTACAGTCAGGGATGTTGTTTATAAGACACAGGTACAGTCAGAGATGTTGTTAATGTCACAGGTACAGTCGGGGATGTTGTTTATAAGTCACAGGTACAGTCAGGAATGTAGTATAAAGTGTGTATACTACACAGGTACAGTCAGAGATGTTGTTTATAAGTCACAGGTACAGTCAGGGATGTTGTTTATAAGTGACAGGTACAGTCAGGGATGTAGTATAAAGTATGTATACTACACAGGTACAGTCAGGGATGTTGTTTATAAGTGACAGGTACAGTCAGGGATGTTGTTTATAAGTGACAGGTACAGTCAGGGATGTTGTTTATAATAGACAGGTACAGTCAGGGATGTTGTTTATAAGACACAGGTACAGTCAGGGATGTTGTTTTTAAGACACAGGTACAGTCAGAGATGTTGTTTATCAGTCACAGGTACAGTCAGGGATGTAGTATAAAGTATGTATACTACACAGGTACAGTCAGGGATGTTGTTTATAAGACACAGGTACAGTCAGAGATGTTGTTTATAAGTCACAGGTACACTCAGGGATGTTGTTTATAAGACACAGGTACAGTCAGGGATGTTGTTTATAAGACACAGGTACAGTCAGAGATGTTGTTTATAAGTCACAGGTACAGTCAGGGATGTTGTTTATAAGTCACAGGTACAGTCAGGGATGTTGTTTATAAGTCACAGGTTCAGTCAGGGATGTTGTTTATAAGGTACAGGTGCGATCAGGGATGTAAAATAATTTGTCTATACAAGACAGGTTGCCAGTCAGGCATGAACGAGAATTTAGAAATTGTAGAGTTGTCAGGACAGGTACAGTAGTGGAAGTTTCATCACAAGCAATATTAATTTAATAACGATTTCGAAAGTTATAAATATAATTATTTATATAGCACCGCATTTCCTTAAATATGAACAATGGTTTTTCTACGTACCATATACCATGTATTTTCAATCACAACGCGGTTATATATCGTCCAGTCAGGATGTCAATCATTTGTGGTTCCATGCATATTATATATATAATTTTTTTCTCTTTTTAGAATTTTTTCTGATTTTCTTGTAACCTATTTTATAACTTGCTACCTGTGTTTAGTAAACTCTGTGTACTTAGTTAGCACATATAAATGAAGGTTTTTGACAGGAATTTTTTTTTTCACTACATTAGACTTCCCGTGTGGCACTTGAAATGTTTGTTAATTATTAACACATTTAATTAATTAAAACGCATAGATCAGTAAATTCCATCCGCATATACATGATTTGGTTTATAAATGATTCATCATTCCAGCACTGAGAATAAAAGTAGGATAATCATGCCGCCAGCGCCACCACCATCACTCCTTAAAAAAAATGATATACCCAGCTCATATTGATCTCTCATCATATATTTAAAAGCTTTAATTAATACATCTGTAAATTTTTGGATCCTTCCCTCAACACTGTTGACAGCGTTTGTCTAATACATGTGTAAACATTAGCGTTTAATAGCGTTTTGATTGAATTCAATCTACATCTATACCGTAGAAAGTCCTCAGAAATTCTTCTCATATTACTACTAATAAGACACACTTGCTGTCATGGAAGTTAAACAAAGTATGTAATCTATCATTATCACTGTGTGCACAGCCAGGTGTTGTTAATCAATCGCGGGCATTCGCGGCTAGTTATCATGACGCTTTGGCGATCACAGCCCTCCACAACGTAGATTTAATTGAAACCAGAATTTTTTTTCTTTCTTTCATATTAACACATTGATTATTTTCATTCAAAAAGCATCCGTAATATTAACGAGATATAATTTAAATGTTGGTTAATCCGGAAATTTTTGCTCTGACTATTAGTGAACAGGTACAGTCGTGGATGTCCGGTACCAGCAGTGCCGAGTACAGTCGCGGATGTAGGCTGACAGACACTGATGCGTATTTGACTATTTAAAAGTACGGTCTACAATCGCTGTCATAATAGTTTGTCCGTAATGTAGCAATTCGTAATATTGCATCTGTGTAGAAGTTGTACGTATAATTTTGACTTCTCAAGAGTGTATGTAATTGAGTCTTATCTAAGACGTGTTCATTGTGATCGTATAATGAGTGTTAAGTGTATTTGTGTAAAGCCCCTAGAGCTTGTAAGTAAAAGTATGTGTATATGTTGGAGCAGGTTCCAGCCATACGTCAAAGTTGGTGTACGACAGTGAGGTTGCCCAGTGTGCCCTTGGAGTGTAGTATATAGGACGCCACCCTTGGAACCTATAGTCCATCCTCCAGCCTGTGAGGGGGAAAGCAAGAGGCGCAACTGGTCACCAGGACAACAGCAGCAATCACAATGACTTTGTACATTTTTATCATGAATTATTAAATATGTAAATAGTAATACAGAAATAGTTTGAGTTATATTTAAAATTTGTAAAAAGGTAAATCCGCTCGACTATCTGCATGTGACAAATCGGTGTCAGAAGTGGGATAAGTTTCCCTAAGAATATTAATCTTTTGTTTTCTGTAAAAAAAAAAAACATCCAAAGTTTTCAAAATATTTTGTATTATTTTGTAAGGTTTAAAAAAAAACTGACATTTTTCTCTTTTTGTTGAAAAATTTTCTTTGCTTGATCATAGTTTTCTATATGCTGTTTTATTTTGTATTTTCCAAATTTCTGTTGTGTTTGTTCTATGTTGTAGAGAATCAGCCGGATTCTGGTTGTTTGGGACCTCGGAAAAGTGCTAGCAGAAGTTGGGCCTGTCTCAGTGAGTTGGACCATTCTGTTAAAGACAGAGTAAGGAATGGTGCAAGTCGCGTAACTTGATGTAAAGAATATCGTGATGCGGTTAGTAAGTGCATATTAGTTTTTGCTGGTTTTAAGGTAGTTAGAGGTGAAGTGACGTTCCAATCAAAATTTGTTCAATCACATGTGCTAGTCATGTCTGATGACTTGAACGAGTTGAAATTATTTGGGGAGAGTTTAGGTCTTAAAGATGAAGATCTCACAAATTTTATTAAAGAACAGCAAGCTTTACGGAGAGATGAGAGACAAGCTCAGAGAGAGTTAGATAAGATAAAGATAAAATCTCAGACTGAGGTTGAAAAAGAGAGACTAAGTTTTGAGTTAGAGAGAGAGAGAAAATGAAAAATGACATTGAGAAAATGAAATTAGAACAAAAGCCTATTTTCTCAGACGAGTCAAAGTTTACAGTTGGTCATGTTTTGCCCAAAACACCCAAACTCCCTTTCTTTGATGAGTCTCATGATGAGTAGATAGTTTTCTCCTTAGGTTTGAACGATATGCTGAGGCTCAGCACTGGGATCATTCAAACTGGGCTATAAATCTTAGTGCATTATTAAAGGGGAAGGCTTTAGATGTGTATGCGTTAATGCCAAAAACTCATGCCCTTGATTACAATACTCTTAAGACAGCTTTATTGAAACGCTTTGAATTGACCGATGATGGTTTTAAAAAGAAGTTTAGATCATGTAGGCCTGATCAGTGTGAAACCTTTTCTCAATTTGCTGTCCGATTGAGTAGTTACTTTGAAAGGTGGGTTGAAATGGCAAAGGCACCCAAAACATATCAAGGTTTGTATGATCTTATGTTGCGAGATCAATTTCTGCATGTATGTACTCAAGATTTAAGATTGTTTTTAAAGGAGAGAATACCCGACAGTCTAACAAATATGGCAAACTTAGCTGACCAGTACAAAGATGCCCGTGACTTGAGTGCGGTTCAAGCTGCAGGTAAGGGTAAAATTTCTTTGTCAAAAAAGGTTGATCAGGTAAAGAAAGTAGATGTTGGTGAGAACAAGAGTTCGTCTTTTGATAAGAAAGAACGTAAGTGTTTTAAATGTCACAAAGTTGGACATATTGCATCAGAGTGTAGGTCCAAAACAACGTTAAACAATGTGTCACATGCTGTACAGGACGTTGGATCTTCTGAGCAAAAGGTATGTTTTGTTAGTACAATGCCTTCAGACTCTGTTGTAGAATCTACTGCATCTTCATTTCCAACAACTACGTCATTTTCTTCTTGTCAAAGTAACCTAGCTTCTAGTATGCCGATATCTGCAGGTTATGTTAACAATGTACCAGTGACAGTCTTGAGAGATACTGGCTGCAGTGGTATTGTCATAAGGAGGAGCAAAATACAAGATGAAGACCTAGTACAAGGTAAGAAACAGACTTGTGTTCTAGCAGATGGCTCCAAAATAACTGTTCCGATCGCAGAGGTTTCCATTAATACTCCCTTCCTGAAAGGACAATATGAGGTATGGTGCATGGAGAATCCTGTATACGATCTGATAGTTGGTAATGTCCCAGATGCCAAGCCAGCGACTCAACCAGATCCAGATTGGCAGGTAAATGCTGTTGAGACCCGGCAACAGAAACGTAACAAGAGCAAACCATACGCTCAGCTTAAAGTACCAGCCATCATCTCTGAGGATCTTGATCCATTGAAAATTAGAAATGCACAAGAGCAGGATGTTTCTCTGAGAAAGGTACGTGAATATGTTGAGAACCACGTGACTCAGATGAAGAAAAATGGTAAGGTGAGTTGGTTTAAGAAAAATGAACTTATGTTTAGACAATACACTACTCGCACTGGAGGACAAGACAGGGTGTATACTCAGTTGGTTGTTCATGCAAAGTTTCGGGACCAGGTAATGAAACTAGCGCATGACTCTTTGTTAGCAGGTCACTTGGGGACACAGCGAACCTTAGCAAGAGTCACCTCAGAATTCTTCTGGCCAGGGATGCATAGTGAGGTGCGGCGTTATTGCCAGTCGTGTGACATATGTCAACGTACAGTTCACAAAGGTAAGATACAGAAAGTGCCATTGGAGCGAATGCCACTCATAGATGAGCCCTTCCAAAGAGTTGCCGTTGATCTTGTTGGACCACTTTACCCAACCACGGACAAAGGTAACCGTTATATTTTGACTCTGGTGGATTATGCTACTCGCTATCCAGAAGCTATTGCTTTGCCTAACATCGAGACAGAGGGAGTTGCAGAGGCCCTGATGGAGATGTTCTCGAGAATCGGTGTGCCCCGTGAGATGCTGACAGATATGGGAAGTCAATTTACTTCTTCTCTAATGTCAGAGGTGAGTCGACTTATTTCTCTTCGACAATGGACCACAACACCTTATCATCCGAGCTGTAATGGGTTGGTAGAAAGTTTCAACGGAACTCTGAAACAAATGTTGAAGCGACTTTGTTCTGAAAAGCCTAAAGATTGGGACAAGTACCTGAGTGCAGTTCTGTTCGCCTATAGAGAAGTTCCACAGGAGAGTCTTGGATTTTCTCCGTTCGAGCTTGTATATGGCCGATCAGTTCGTGGACCAATTTCAATCTTGAAAGAGTTATGAACCAAGGATATTGCAGATCCCAACGTGAGGACTACATATCAATATGTCCTGGATCTCAAAGACAGACTTCAGTCTATGGCAGACTTAGCCAAGGAAAGTATAGAAAAGTCGTCTACCAGGTATAAGAAACACTATGACAAGAAAACAAGGCATAGAAGTCTAAAGGTAGGAGAGAGAGCATTAGTTTTATTGCCAACTGATAACAATAAGTTATTGCTTCAGTGGAAAGGACCTTTTGTGGTAACTAAAAAGGTAAACAGAGTAGATTACCAGTTGGATGTTCAAGGTAAGACCAAAACGTTCCACATAAATCTGTTAAAGAGGTATGTTGAGAGACCTACTTTCGACAAGGTTTCGATGACATGTGATGCAGGTGTACTTGGTTTGGTTAACGCATCGGTGGTTGATTGTGTAGATGATGAAAACCAAGAAGGCCAGCTAGACGAGTATCCTCAATCAAAGGTTAGCGGAAGTAATGTAAACATAAACCCTTCATTATCAACAGAGAACAGGGATAAGTTGTTGAAATTGTTGGGTCAGTACAGTGATGTTTCCAAGACAAGCCAGGTCTTACAAATGTCCTTGAACACGACATAAGGATGGTAAGTTCAAAACCATTCATGTAAAAAGTCGTCAGATACCATATACTATGGAGGAGATAGTCAACAAGGAGGTAAGGGACATGTTGAGTATGAATATTATTGAACGCTCCGAATCTCCATATTGTTCACCCATCGTAATTGTGCCCAAGAAAGATGGAACAAATAGGTTTTGTATAGATTTTCGTCTGTTGAACAATCAAACTATATTTGATTCTGAACCAATGCCTGACACTGACGAAATGTTTTCCAAACTTGCAGGTCACAAATTCTTTTCAAAGATTGATCTCTCAAAAGGTTATTGGCAGGTAAAATTAACAGATGAATCAAAACCAAAAACAGCTTTCAAAACGGGGAAAGGTTTGTTCCAGTTTAGGGTAATGCCCTTCGGGTTGGTAACGGCTCCCGCCACGTTCTCAAGGTTGATGCGCAAGGTCTTGCTTGGTATGGAGAATGTAGACAATTTTATAGACGATATTTTGGTCTACACAAGGTCATTAGAGCATCATTATGTTGTACTAATTGAGCTTTTTCAGCGATAACGCCAGGCAGGTTTGACAGCCAAGCCTAGTAAATGTTCATTGGCTTACTCAAACATAGACTGTCTTGGACATATGGTCGGTAACGAGCAGTTGAAACCAGACTTAGACAAGGTTGATGCAATACGTAATGCACCTGTCTCGCTTACAAAAAAGCAATTAAGGTCATTCCTAGGACTAATCGGTTTTTACCGTAAATTTGTACCAAACTTTGCTCAGATTGCGTCACCTCTCACTGATTTGACTAGAAAAGGTTCTCCTACTAAGCTTCTTTGGGAAGAGTCTCATGATTTAGCGTTTCAGACGTTGAAGAGTTCACTATCAAAGTGTCCTATTCTAAAACTTCCCAACATCAATGATACATTCATTTTACAGACAGATGCTTCAGACAGAGGTCTGGGAGCAGACCTCTTACAATGGGAACAAGATCAAAAACTACTAATTGCATATGCTAGTAGGAAGCTAAAAGAGAGTGAGTGCAAGTATGCTACAGTTGAGAAAGACTGCCTAGCAATAGTGTGGGGTATTCAAAAATTCCAAAACTATCTGTATGGGCAAGAGTTCGTGTTAGAAACGGACCACAGTCCCCTTGTTTATCTGAACAAGTCTAAGGTAACGAACCCAAGACTCATGATATCTTAAGTGAGATCTCGCGAGAAGCGACGAGATTAGTAGAACTTGTCACATTCGTGGTTTGGCTGCCGAAGCGAGTTGACGGTACCGCTGACTTTCTATTTTGCTCTCCACGCCCATGCTGTAGGTGAGTTTTTAATTTATTTTATGTGGCAATGGAATAGGTTTAGCCTATAGGATTGCACATTTTTAATAGTTGTTCGGCAGTGGCCTGTATATGTAATTGTGTGGCAATGGAATAGATTCGGTCTATAGGATTGCATTGCACGCTTTTCTTACTTTTTAATGGCATTGGCCATGTGATAATCGTATATGGAGATTGTGGCAATGGAATAGGTTTAGCCTATAGGATTGCGCAATGTTGTTTTTATTGTTCGAGATATTAGAGTTAATAGTGTTGGGAGTATTTTGGAATTCTTGCGGTGCGGATTGCACGTGCCATGTCCGAGTTCAGTTCACTGTATATACGAGCATGTATAGGGTGACGTAGTTTATATAGGAAGGCCTATATATTGGGTACGCAAAGTTAATTTGTGTTAGAATGCTATTAGGAGTATGTTTTGTTGTAATACTGTGCATTGATTTGAGTTATATATCTATATGTATATTTGATATTATTTTATCCTTAATTTTATAGGATGAGTGTACTAAAACCCAAACATTCCCTGGTTGGGAAATCTTTGGTACCGCTGATTTTAAAATTCAAAGCACAGGAGGATAGAATTGATGAGGGCGACCTGAATAGATTGAAAAAAGGGCACTCCTTAACCAGGTATATTGGTTTAGTAAATATTTGGTTTTAATTGTATGTGGAATTTTGTATTCACTTGCTAGTAAGATCTTGGTTTATATTTATGTAGATATAGTCAGGATGAGTTGAGAGCAGAGTTCGAAGGACTCACGGGAGAGAACCCAAGAGACATTTTGATCCTGGCTGGGAGGGAGGAGGATTTCGATAGTTTAATCATTTTGATGCATTTTGCAATTGCACATGCGAATCTGGTAGGGGCACCAAAAGGTCAAAGTTTACAAGCTTCTACTTCTGAAGTTCATCAAACTGTGGCTCCTGTTAGTATTAGTGGAATTGTGGCCCCATCTACCTCAGCTGCTACAGCTTCTAGTTCTACTAGCTCATCTGTAGCTGCAGCTTCTAGCGTTTCTAGGGCATCAGGTAATAAATGTTTTGATATGCTTTACTTTGTAGACGTTATAGAATATGGGAGATATATACAGTGTATATATATAAAAATATTTATTATATATAAACATTGCAGATGAGGTATATGGAAACTTAGAATTACATTTTGTATATCTTTAGGTGAAAAAAACATGGAAACCAGATTGAGGGACATAGAGAAGAAGATGGAATCTATTAAAGAGAAATCGGGGGAGGATCAGGTAGAGGAGTGTTTAAGACAAGTTCGGATTTTGGCTGGTCGTCCTAATCTTACGCAGGCGCATGTCCTCTTAGCTGCGTTGGAAACACTTGTTGATGTTGCATTTAGAAACTCTCATAAAGATGCTGATTTTTATTCGAAAGCATTTACACATTGTAAAAAGTTTGAAAATTCTAAAGATTTATGTGGGCTTACTATGAAATTGTTTGGTTCAGCTGAGGATAAAAAAAAAAAAAAAAAAAAAAAGAGAATGTAGGGCAAACTAATTACAAAAAATTTGGGAGATTTGTCAGGAATGCAGTCAAATCCTTATCCTTATGTACAATTGATGGGACAGCCACAGTTCCCCTTTTCACCTTTTCCTATGCCATATGCGGGGTACCCTGCCCAGGGTTTTGGGTTTCCTCGTCCTTCAGGTAGAGGTATGGGTGTGCGCCCTCGTAGAGGAAGATGTTTGTTTTGTAAAGATTTGGGACATTTTATAGCGGATTGTCCAAAAATGAAAAAATAAAATGTTTTGGATACAATTCCTTCAACTCGGGGGTTTCTAATGCCCTTTGTGATTTTTCACATGAGTTGAGGGTTGAGTATCCTCCTCTGTAATTGACTTATTAGCATCCTTTATTTCATTCTTTTTTGGTTTCAGAGTGAAGTGTTTGTTAAGAAGCAAAAACTTTGTCCTGTTATACCAGATTGGGAATTGAACACCGGTTTTAATCCAGAATCTATTGTTCAAAGAGAAAAGGATGAAAAATGGGTTAATTACAGGGGGGAGAATACTCAACCCTTGACTTGTGTGACTGCTGAAGACGTTGCTAAGAAAAATGTAGAATTTAATTTTGAAAATTTAAGATTTCGGGATCCTAATTATTTTTTACCAGGAAATTTACATTCATATTTGCATGAGTGGGAAAATATAGATGCCCCAGATAATGTTCTTGAATGGTTAAAGGAAGGAGTTGATGTTAAAAAGTTTTTTAAACCTTTTAATGGAAATTTTAAGGGCAAGAGTTACAGTTCAAAGGTTCCGCCCTCAGTTTATTTTCCAAATTCTAACGTGTGTGAACAATTCAAAGATTTTATTGTAGAAACATTGTATGAAAGGTTAGAAAATGGATCTCTCACACTGGTTGGGAAGGTCGGTTTTTGTGAGCCACCTCATTTGGTTTTGCCTCTTACAGTGGAACCTACAAAACCACGTTTGTGCCATGACGAAAGATTTTTGAATCTCTGGGTGAAGGATTGTCCGTTTTCATTAGATACTTTGAAAGATGTTCCGCGCTTAGTTCAGAAAGGTATGTTTATGTCTAGCATTGATGACAAGTCGGGATATGATCATATTTGTTTGAGTGAGAAGTCTAGAACATATTTTGGGTTGCAGTTTGGAGGTTGGTTTATGGTATTTAATACTTTACCATTTGGTTTCAAAGCAAGTGCTTTTATTTATCAAAGTATGGGTATGGTGGCTACGAGTTGGTGAAGGTCTTTAGGTGTACCATGTTTACAATATATTGATGATAGGTGGATTGGGGGATTTTTGCAGTCTCTTTTCCATGGCCCCAAAGTTCCTCTAGATGACTGTCAGGTGGCAGATAAGGCATTATACATTGTATGTCAAGTTATGATAAGATTAGGATATTTTCTCAATATTACAAAGTCAGTATTGGTTCCAGTGAAATGTTTAAAATTCTTAGGGATGTTGGTAGACTCTGAGAGACTGGCATTTATAATTCCAGAGGAGAAAAAAGGGAAGTTTATCAAGTTGAGAGAGAGCATCTTGGATTGTGAGAAAATTAGTATTCTTAGTTTACAAAAGTTTGCTGGCAAATGTA